GGCTGAAAGTAAGTTGAAATCGCCATATTTGCCTGATTCATTTTTGTATCTTTCCAGAATGTCTAGAATAGTGCCTTGCACACAATAGGAGATCAATAAATATTTGTTAAATATGTGAATGACAAAATGTAACAAGTGTGTTCTTTCTTCCCTATACTTCAAGGGAACATACAGTAAATAATCATGATACCAGAGCTAAACAAATCCACGGGAACCTCCCAGGAAACCAAAACGTGCAAATGTGCCAGGAGGTTTTATAGAGTAAGTCCATATGGGATTTTAAAAAAAACAACACAAGTGCTGTAGGACTTTATTGTGAATTGGATCTGCCAATATCCATGCTGAAGAAGCCAACCCTGAAGCCAAATACCAGCATTTGTTTCCCAAACACTGATTAAAACAAATATTTTTCAGTTGCCATAGCTTTTGGATCTATTTTTGACATGCACGCTGAATGCAGCAAATAACATGGAAACTCTGGCTCCCTTCATTGCTGCTTGACATTGAGGACTCTAACCTCGCTAGTGAGGTCAGAAAACATCAGCTACACAACCACAAAAGATACCTTTCCTTGCTCCTAGGCTGCCAACTGCAGTACTATCTTTGGGATGGTTCGTCATATCTACTAGTTGCACATGCTTTAAAACTGAATACAGCCTCAATGCAGGCTTTAAGTTTGGAAACTAGTTAAAATTAGACTAAGTCTTGTGTCTTTATAGGAAAGCACTGACAATATCTCTTTGATACATAGTGTAGCCCCAATATACAACTTTAATTTTTTATTGTGGAAATTTAAGAACATATACAAAATTATAGAGATTAAAAGGATCTGAAGTACCTTTCACCCAGCTTTGATAACTATCACTTGTGAAAGGATAACTCAGACACAAAACTATTAAGAAAATAATTTTACTTTCACTATTCTGTAAGGCAGATCTTACTTCAGAACAACTGAGCTATCTAAACAAAGAACACAGCAGGTTTTTAGAGAAAAACACAAGAGGTTACTAAGTGTACAGTTAGTCTGTTCCTCACATGACTATCCTACCTGCAAGGGTTATCTCCTATGTTGATATTAATATTGCAAAATCAGGAATTAAATTGGTTGTTTTTTGTTTTTTGTTTGTTTGTTTTTGAGATGGAGTCTTGCACTGTCGCCCAGGCTGGAGTGCAGTGGCGTGATCTCGGCTCACTGCAACCTCTGCCTCCTGGGTTCATGCCATTCAATCAGGAATCAAATTGTTTGCATTAGGGTAGCAGCTTACGAAAAGGGCATGGTCTTCATTTAGAGAAAAGTGTTAGGGTGTTTCTGCCTGTTTTAGTATTTTTAAGAATGTCAAGTGTTTGGGGTTTTGTGGGAGCAGGGATGGGTTTTTTGTTTTGTGTGACTGTGCTATATAATGTGCTAAGTCAAGATGGCAACAAGGCAAGATGTCATTTCTGCTTCCCTAGCCCCTCCTTCTGGGGCTGCCAGAAGTATAGTTCTGACTACACGGGTTTGTTCAGAAATTTTCGGATCCATATTATTAATTTGATGGGTTTTTCTCTTTATTTTATACAGTTGCCACAAAAGGTGTTGATTAATACTAGGAGATTTTTTTGCTGTATGGTTTTAAAAAGTAAAGCCTTAAAATACCAAGGCTTGGAGAATTAACTTCTGTCTAGAGGCTTCATAAAGCCCCTAGTCAGATTTTGATCACATCAGTTTTGCAGATGATTTTGAATTGCTGTTCTCAATCAGTTTGCCATTTCTAGGTCTAGGAGAAAAAAGGCATCCCATTTGCCTGTTTGCCTGGACCATGCTTTTCCTCAGGAACTACATAACTAGGACGTCCTTCCTTCTCTGAGGTCCCCAAGTCTGTCAGTGTTCCTGCTGTGTCAGCAAGTGGCGTTCTTTACTAAGTGTAAGGCTGAGATTTCACTAGCCAGAGAGCAGGTACAAGGTAAGTTTCCTGGGAGGATGTTGTGGGCAACATTTCCACATATCAAGTACAGTCCCTGCTTCTTTTTTTGGGGGGGGTGTTGGGGGAGGGATGGAGTTTTGCTCTTGTCGCCCAGGCTGAAGTGCAATGGCACAATTTTGGCTCACTGCAACCTCTGCCTCCTGGGTTCAAGCCATTCTCCTGCCTCAGCATCGCAAGTAGCTGAAATTACAGGCATGTGCCACTACACCCGGCTAATTTTTGTATTTTTAGTAGAGATGGGGTTGGTCTCAAACTCCTGACCTCAAGTGATCCACCCGCCTCAGTCTCCCAAAGTGCTGAGATTACAGGCATGAGCCACCGCACCCAGCCCAGACCTTATTTCTTAAAGTGAGCTTATCATGCCTAATTAAGTCAGACTTGTTTTAAAATATGACATTTCTTGCATGGTAACTGTGACAAATTTTCTTTATCTAACCATATCCCAAGACAGAGGTGTACTGACCCTATGTAAATAATGACATGGTCATAAAAAATAAAGTGAAGCAATGAATGGCACTTTAACAATAACCACTGTTACATGCAGTTTTACGGAAGCCAATTAATGTGTGTCACTCTTCTTCTCAAAATCATTTTTCTTAGATGTTTCTCTTGATTTATTCACTGATAATCTATACCCTAAGATATTTTCTAGATTTTTTTCTGAATTCTGAGACATCAGTTGTAATGAGATACCATTTAAAGAATGTTTTGTTCCACTTCGTACAGGGTTTGCTTATTAAATTGAGAATTAGTGATAGATCAGGAAGAAAGAAAAGGAGTGTTGTTCTCATTTGCTAAACAGAATATAGGTTAGCCCCAAGTGAATTTTCATCTTAATTTCTTTCCATCCTGCATCATTAATTCTTGTTTCCTGATCTTGGTTTAAGTAACCCTACTATCACAAAGTCATCTGCTTTTAGATTAAATAAAAGGTCCTAGACATGCTCAGTCACACAGTCCAACCAGGGGCTTCTGGTGACAGTGTCAGCTTATACTGGAAAGCTTGTGCCCATGAATCTGCTCCAGTTAGTGTCAATAGTTAAAAGAACCTACTTGAGGCCACTGCTGGGATGTTATGATCCCTTTGATGTTTCTTCCAGAGACTCCATTATTGATTTATTGATTAATAGCAAGGGTGTTTAGATAAGTGCAAAGGAAAAGAAGAAACTACCTATTGACGACAAGACTTGGTCAATGGCTTGGGTTAATTTACTATAATAATTAACAGTATCTACAATAAGAAAAATGAGACATAATGTACAAGTATTTTTAAAGGATTTAATCAACAATTGCTCTGAAAGTAGTAGCATCCTATAGACAACAACGGCCTTGACAGATCTCCAGGACTTCTTAATTTATCCCAATGTGTATTTTTTGGTAACCAATTGATACAGGTATTTTAAAACAGAAAACGTTGAATAAATCTTGCCGACAGTTATTATGCCAGTCTTCACACATTACCTTGAGTATGCTCTATACATCCTGAAAGATTGCAATTGCTGAAACTTGTTCATTTTAATATTAATAACATGATTTGTATATAATTGACCTAATATTAATAACATGCTTTGTATATTTTTGTATATAATTGACCTAGGGAGGTTGGTTTGCCAGCTGTTTCCATACTATGGGCTTGGCAAATGCTCTCACAAATACAGAGAATTCCAAGTATTTTCAATGACTTCCAGCACCCCTCCTTTTACAAAATGAGAAAATAAATCTTTGGTGTTGTCTAAGAAAGAAACCTCAAAGACAGTTTGGTTGTAAAAGATATCTTAACAGTTCTATTATTCAGAATATGAGAAAAGCCAATTTAAAAAGTTGTCGGCCAGGCGCAGTGGCTCATGCCTGTAATCCCAACACTTTGGGAGGCTGAGGCGGGCAGATCACGAGGTCAGGAGTTCGAGACCAGCCTGGCCAACATGGCAAAACCCCGTCTCTACTAAAAATACAAAAATTAGCTGGGCGTGGTGGCGGGCGCCTGTAATCCCAGCTACTCAGGAGGCTGAAGCAGGAGAATCTCTTGAATACGGGAGGCAGAGGTGCAGTGAGCTGAAATCACGCCATTGCACTTCAGCCTGGGCAACAGGGCGAGACTCAATCTCGGGGACAAAAAAAATAAGTTGTCAAGGGAGACGAGATGGGAGTATAAATCATAAGTGCCTAAACATGGGAAATGGTTACAATCTTTGTTATGGTGAAAATACACACTAGTGCATAACAATATTAGGAATTGTAGTCTTTTCAGAAGTAGATTTTGTTTAAAATTTATTTCAGCGAATGATTTAAAAATCAGACAAAATGTTATCAGGCTCCAAATAAGTATATTTTAGTGACACCTGGAATCTCTGCTAGTTGCACACAGAATAACTTTCTGCTATTTCTAGTGGTATGGTTTGGCTCTATGTCTCCACCCAAATCTCATCTCAAATTGTAATCCTCATGTGTTGAGGGAGGGACCTGCTGGGAGGTGATTGGATCACACCTCCAATCATGGGGGCGGTTCCCCCATGCTGTTCTTGTGTTAGTGAGAGAGTTCTCACGAGAGCTGATAGTTTTATAAGTGTTTGGAAGTTCCCCCTTTGCAGCACTTCTCTCCCTCCTACCACGTTGTGAAGAAGGTGCCTGCTTCCCCTTCACCTTCCGCCATGATTGTGAATTTCCTGAGGCCTCTACGGCCATGTGCAACTGTTAGTCAATTAAACCTCTTTCCTTTATAAATTACCCAGTCTCAGGCATTTCCATTTCTTTTTCTTTCTTTTGTTTTTGTTTTGTTTTGTTTTGCTTTGTTTTGTTTTGCAAGACAGCTCTGTCACCCAGGCTGGAGTACAGTGGCACAATCTCGGCTCACTGCAACCTCCACCTCCCGGGTTCAAGTGATTCTCCTGCTCAGCCTCCTGAGTAGCTGGGACTTCAGACGCATGCTACCATGCCTGGCTAATTTATGTATTTTTTGTAGAGATGGGGTTTCCCCGTGTTGCCCAGGCTGGTCTTGAACTTCTGAGCTCAGGTGATCCACCTGCCTTGGCCTCCCAAAGTGCCGGGATTACAGGTGTGAGCCACCATGCCCGGCCTCATAGGCATTTCTTTATAGCAGTGTGAAAATGGACGAATAGGCTTGTTAGTATTAACAAGTTGAGATCGTATCCTCAAAGCTCAATGTTCTTCTGAAATACTTGGCTTTCTCCTCCTTATCACTTAAAGTTCCCTTTGCTCAATAAATTTAATATTCCACTATTTAGGCATACAAAATACATTTAAACATACAAAAATAAACATATATCCTTAAATGGCAAACATGAGGCTTTAAATTTTAACTTCAAAATATATTGATCTTACCAGAATATTACAAGGTAATGTTTATCTACATTAAGTTTACCATCTTAGTAAAACTATAATGCTTCTCTTGAAAAATAAATGGGGCCAGGTGCAGTGGCTCACACCGGTAATCCCAGCACTTTGGGTAGGCCAAGATAAGCGGATGGCCTGAGTCCATGAGTTCGAGACTGGCCTGGGCAACATTGGCCTCATTTCTATTAAAAAAAAAAAAAAAATTAAGAAAAATCAATAGACAAAACATATCCATTATCTTGTGTATGCATCTATATCTCTTCGCAACAACTGTATAGCCTCAACCACTATGCATACTAGTTCCAGCTTGCAACTGAAATAATCAACATCTGCTCCCTCAAAGGCCCAGAGAAAATGAAGAGGTGAACAAATAAGAACAGTCTATTGTACACAAGTACCTTAGCAGAAAAGCAAGGCTCAGTGAAGACCTCCTGAGTCCCACAGGCTCTATCACATATACATGTTACATGTTTCAAAATGGAAAGCATGAACATGTGAACTAACATACAACCCAATTTTTTTTGTTTTCTTACAGCACATGGCCAGTCTCATTCCATCCAAAACCCCACCTACTACCAACTCATCCCCAGGTTATTTTGAAGCAAATCCCACACATTAAGTCATTTCATCTGTAAATATTTCAGTATGAATCTCTAAAAGATAAAGATTCTTTTTGTGATCTTTAAACATGATCATAACAATTATCTAATGCAAAAATTAATGCCTTAACATCATAAAATATTCAACCAGAGTTCACATTACCCTAATTCTGAGTACTTTCAACTTCATTATTTAAATCAGGATCCAAATATGGTACAATACATTGCAACTGAGCAATATGTATTTTAATTCTACTTTAATTTATAGGTTTCTCTTGCAACTTTTTGTTAAAGATACCAGGTCAATTGGCCTGAATTTGCTATGGTATCACTTAAAAGGTTCTTTATCCCTGTGTTTCCTGTAAATTGTTAGTTGAATCTAAAGGCTTAATCAGATTCAGGCTCAATCTTTTTTGTTTGTTTGTTTTGCAAGATGTGTAGAAAAGACTATAATCTTGTCCAAAAAGGGGTCTGGCCTTTGCCCTCTATTTGGGGGTGTAATTTCTAAACCCTTGGAGTTTCATGATAGGAGTGGTTTTGTTTGTGTGCAGGCCTTGATTAAACTGGATAGTGTAATGACGTGATACAGAGTGGGAGGTTTGGGTCACACATACTCAGCAATCAGCTCTGGAGGGGCTGGAGATGGAGAAGTCATGTGGGCAGCCAACCAAATAAATATCTGGACAGGAAGGCTCAGGTGCTTGGCAATAATCTGTGCATATGGTCATACACTGATAATGGGAAAGTAATGGTGCATATAACTCCACAGGGAGAAGATAACTGGAACATCCATATATGGAACTTTTCTAGACTTTGCCTTACATGATTTTTTTCCTGGACTACCTTTAATCTGTATCCTTTAGTTGTGATAAATCATAACCATTAGGATAACAACTTTTAGTGACTTCAAGTCCTTCTAGCAAATTATCAAAATTGTGTGGTTTTTGAGAATCCTCAAACTTGCAGTTGATGCCAGAAGTAAGAGCAGTCTTGTGAACTGCTCCCAACACTCCCCACAAGACCACTGCACTGTGGTAGTGTCTAGCAGGAGGTCCATGATATCCATTGTTTCTTTTTCTGCTGTTGTTAGTCACTGATGATCATTGCTTCTTTGAAAGAGGTCATTACCTCTTTGAAGACTGCAAAATGGTGATATTCTACTTCTATCCTTTCTTTTTTATTAACTTGAGTCTTCCCCTTCATCAGTTGTTTGGTTATCTGATATAGGCAATATAGGAAAGACAGGAAAAAATGCTTATTTTATTTACCAGTTTTTAAAATTAAGAGGTAGTTCCTTGCATTCTTCAAAGTGACCAATGACTTCTTAAAAATCTTTATGTCATGAATTTAAGCATCAATCATTATAGATGTTCGTCTTTGAACACCTGTGGCCAAGGAAAGAGTATGTAAATTAGCTCCTGTCCTTTTGACATGATCCTAGTAATCTTTCATAGCTTGCTTCCTTGCTTTCTGGTATCACAAGATGTTCCAAGTTTATCTGGCATATCTTCTGTTTAAAACCTGGAATCAGCCATTTCTCTAAGAAGACCTGTCTCAAGTTGGGTTCTTCCAGGAAATTGACTCTGAGTTGAATATTTACAAGCAATTAAGGGACTGCACTTAGAATTAACACCTATGGGGGAGGGGCAAAAGTAGGACTGGGCAGAAAAAGCAGTGGAACCACAGTAGAGTCACAGCCAAATCCACAGAGAACACTGGAGATGGTTTAGCCCTGTAAGATGTCCTCCCTTCAGGCAAGAAAGCCTGACCTTTATAATCCACATTAACCAGTCATTAGATATGGGCTGCCTCTGGGCAGGATGTTATAACCTTGGGTGAGGTGACTCTCTTCATGTTAGGGCAGTGGTTCTCAGTCAAGGCAATTTGTCCCCCAGAGACATTTGGCAATGCCTGGAGACATTTTTGGTTGTCACAGCCATGGGTAGGGTGCTACTGGTATCTAGCGGGTAGAAGCCAGGGATTCTACTAAACATCTTCTAATGCACAGAACAGTCCCCAACAGCAAAGAATTATCCAGTCCAAAATGTCAATAGTGCTGAAACTAAGAAACCTTGGTTTAAGACAATGCCCAGAGAGTGATTCAGGGACAACCAACAGTCACCACTGTTCCAGCATCCCAGGCCTCAGTTCTGAATGGAGAATCTGGGTGGCAAACCACAGTATCCACTATATGTCTTGATTACTTTTAGAGAAAAATAGTAAATAGAGATCTCTGTCTGGGAGCTAGGAGTGCTTGTTGCCTCCAGTTTGATCTCTATTTCTAGGCCTATTCAGGGGAGAGAACTAGGAAATTATCTTTTCAATACACATCATTCATTATATCAATATTTCTAATTCAAAATCAGGACTCTGATATAATCCTATTTAGAAGGTATAATCCTTCTATTTTGAGAAGCTTGGAACTTGTTGACCCTAAGAAGTTTCCTGAGAGCCATCTCAGTAAACCATTTTTGAATGTCATTAAGTTTGCATATTAGGGGGTTACAAAAGTAAAGGAAAACTTTGCAGGAAAATGTTCAAAATAATCCAGAATATTGGATTTAGGAGGAACCTAAGAGATCATCTAAACCAAAACTCTGATTTTACAAATGAGGAAAAGGAGGCCTAGAAAAGTTCAGCAGACTTAATCTAAGGTCCATAGCTACTTAGTGCCCTAACCAGGACCAGCATCAGGACACTAACCCCTCATATTTGTTTCTTTTTTCCTGCCTCAGCACTGTGACTCTTCTCTCTAGTATTACCTCTCCCATGTTGCAGAAGAAAATAGAACAAAGAGGGACAGAAAAGGAGATGAAACTCATTCCTTTTTCACAGTATACCTTAGTGGAACTGAGAACTCAGATCTGTATGCAGAGAACTGAGCACAGATCTGTAGGAAGGAAGTGCTTCTTATCCACTGTTAGTGGAAACATCTGTTTAGTTGTTTTTCCAAAGCACTGTTAGATTGTGCCGTGCCTTCCACATTCTCTCCTGCACTCTTGCTAATGACGAAGCAGTTACACACCAGCAAGGCTGGCCAACGTTGGGACATCTGAGCAAAGAAAAAGAGTTCAATTAACCAGTCCATGCAGGGACAGAATGATTGATTTGGTCTCATTAGTAGCATACACAAAAATAATCAATTAAGCTGGCAACATGGTGTAATGCCTTTTCAAATGAAGGTAATCCTCTTTTTTTTTGAGTCAGGGTCTTGCTCTGTTGCTCAGGCTGGAGTGCAGTGAGTGGTGTGATCACACCTCACGGCAGCCTCAACCTCAACCTCCTGGGCTCAAGAGATCCTCCTCTCTCTCAGTCTCTCAAGTAGCTGGGACTACAGGCATGCATCACCACACCCTGCTAATTTTTGTATTTTTTTGTAGAGATGAGGTTTTGCTTTGTTGCACAGGCTGGTTTCAAACTCTTGGAATCAAGCCCACCTCAACCTCCCAAAGTGCTGGTATTCAGGTGTGAGCCACTGCACCCGGCCATTAGGAACTGTCTTCTTTCAATCCTTTCCTAGGCATACTAATCTGAACTCTTCTTGTCCTAGTAAGTTGTTTATTATTTCTTCCAGTGCTTCCTAAACTTTTCCACTGAAGTACTGACAGAGAAGAATGAAAGCTACATAACACATACACACACACACACACCCCGGTGTGCACTCAAAGCCCTGGGAAAGTGACCCAAAGCAAAATTATTGGGAAATGCAAAATTTTTCCAAAGTCCTGTGTTTATCTTAAATATTCGTTCAAGTCCACAACCTACTGTTTTTCTTAAAGAAACAGAAGTTTAAAAGGGCAATTGATATTCCAGAACATGCAGTATGCTTAACAAGGGCTTTGAGAAATCCCTTCCCCTCCCAAATCATGACATACCTCTTGTAACCCCATTTAAGAAACCCAGATTGAGAAATCATTTATATAATAGATTTCTATTGCTCTGAGGTAGAATTCATACTCTTAAAAGTGGTTTGCCTTTTAAAAAAAAAATCTGCATTCTATCTACTTATGAAGTATCTATTTTTGTTTGTTTGTTTTTATTTTAGCAAAATCACTAGTTGTTTGGGTTTTTTTTTTTTTTTTTAAGAGGTAGGGTCTTACTTTGTCACCCATGCTGGAGTGCAGTGGTATAATCACAGCTCACTATAGCCTTGAACTCCTGGGCTCAAGTAATCCTCTCACCTCAGCCTCCTGAGTAGCTAAGACCACAGGTTCGTGCCACCACACCCAGCTAATTTGTAAATTTTTTTGTAGAAACAGGGTCTTGCTATGTTGCCCAGGCTGGTCTTGAACTCCTGGCCTCAAGCAATCCTCCCACCTCGGCCCCCCAAAGAGCTGGGATTACAGGTGCGAGCCACCATGCCTGGCCCAGTTAAGCTGTAATAATCAAGATTTTCAAATAATTTGTGTTTTATCAACAGTAGTTACAAAAAAGATTAAAATTAAAATATAAGTATATTCAAGCTGTATAAAATTTTATATTTTTATCAAAAGTATAATCTAAATATAAAAATTTTAATGTAAAATTGTTTTTCATATATTCTCAAAAGTTATCTTTTCTAAAATATTCAAAAGCATCTATTAAAATTAAAAGGCAAAATATAAATTAAAATTCGTAATTTTAAAATGGGGATACCACAGACTGCAAGTCTTTATTTTCATTTATTTATTTATTTTGAGACAGAATGTCGCTCTGCCATCCAGGCTGGAGTACAGTGGCACGATCTCGGCTCACTGCAGCCTCCGCCTCTTGGGTTCAAGCAATTCTCCTGCCTCAGCCTCCCGAGTAGCTAGGATTACAGGCACATGCTGCCATGCCTGGCTAATTTTTGTGTTTTTGGTAGAGATAGGGTTTCACCATGTTGGCCAGGCAGGTCTTGAACTCCTGACCTCAGGTGATCTGACTGCCTCAGCCTTCCAAAGTGCTGGGATTACAGGCATGAGCCACCACACCAGGTCCAACCTGCAAGCCTTTATGGCATTCAGATGCAGCCACCTGCTGTTTTGAGGACATAAGGCAAGAGATGTGGAGAATGTTTCCTGGGGCCTAATCAATGTTAGTGGTAAGAGTAGACATTTAGGCTTATGGCCATGCTGTGTCAGTGCTGAATGCCAAACTGAGAGAGGGGTCATGTGCTCTTCAATAATGTGTATGTGGATTGGGGGCTTGTGGGTGGTTTGTGATATGCAGGGCCTTCTAAGCCCGGGCAGTTTTCACCTGTCCCAGTCTGAGGACAGTCTGAAGTCTTCAGAATATGAATGTATAATGGAAAAGGGAAAGTGGGTTGACATCCCAGCCCCACACCTCACCGCTCCAGAGAGCATTCAGAGTTACAACACCTACCTACTTACCCAGTGAAGTTAGTATATAAAGCAGATATGATTATTACTACTTTACAAATAAGGAAACTGTATTAGTCCATTTCATACTGCTATTAAGAACTGCCCGAAACTAATTCATACCAAGCGAAGGGGGAAGAGCCCCTTATAAAACCATCAGATCTCAGTCAGGTGCAGTGGCTCATGCCTCTAATCCCCGCACTTTGGGAGGCCGAGGTGGGCGGATCATCTGAGGTCAGGAGTTCCAGACCAGCATGATCAACATAGTGAAATGTAGTCCCAGCTACTTGGGAGGCTGACACAGGAGAATCACTTTAACCTGGGAGGTGGAGGTTGCAGTGAGCCAAGATCGTACCACTGCACTCCAGCCCGGGGTGACAGAGCGAGACTCCATCTCATAAAACAAAACAAAACAAAACAAACAAACAAACAAACAAAAACCATCAGATCTCATGAGAACTCACTTACTATCACAAGAACAGCATGGGGGAAACTGCCCCCATCATTCAATTATCTCCACTTGTTCTCTCCCTTGACACATGGGGATGATGGAGATTATAATTCAAGATAAGTTTTGGGTGGGGACACAAAGCCTGACCATATCAGAAACTGAGACACAAACTAAAATGAAGTGACTCTCCCCTGGTTAGCTAGCTACAACATGGTGGATCCAAGAGCAGAACTCAAGGCTCCTGGCTCCTTGCCCATATAAGCTGGCTGCCTCGTGTCTCACTTCCTGATGCTCAAAGTTGCTTCTATATTACTGTCAGGGTTTTGTGGTCTATTATGTGAGTTAAAAAGAATAAAAGAACCATACTGTTTAGCCCTCTTCAGTGTTTAGGGATTTGGAGGTTCAGAGGTGGAGGAAAAGGGAAGTCATTTTAATAGATGTTTTCTGAACCTGATCATTGAACTCCAACATCTTAGAATCAACATATCCTGAAATGTTTCTGGTCAAATAGTGATTATGGGCACAACAATAAAATTACTGTATTTAGTCTTCTGGTGCGTGGTCAGCATCTTCTTTTATCCTTTTGATTTGGATTTCCTTGGGCTACTGAATGGGGATGTTTTCTGTTCTTACGTGGCAATTTGAGAGGGGTAGCTAAGTAGCATAATTGTTATTTACCATGTGGTATGCACTATTTGGGAGTTGGGGGCTGAACCTGACAGAAAATTAAATGTGATTTCTGCCCTCAAAAGTCCTCATTTTACTCTGATGAATAGATCTGACATGTAAACACAGGAAGGAGAGGAGAGCACCACTTTTAGGGGAAGTGGATAGAGATATACACAATAAGACAGACCTCTGTGAGAGTACCTAATAAATTTAATTGGATGATGAATTGAAGAAAATTAACAGATTATTTTAATTTTTACTTTTGGGTATAAAGCAAAGGCTACAGATGCTGCCTCTAAAACTGATCTCCACACCTCCAATCTTATTCCTCCAAAGTTATGGTATAAGTTCGGTTATATGGCATCTGCCCACAAGCCAGATTCCTGGTGACATTTTATCTTCTTCACACACACAAAAATATATCTACTCTTCTCTCTTTCCCACTGCCAACTCTCCTCTCCAGAAAGACTCAGGGCACTAGAAATAAGCATCTTTGTTCACAGGGATGGATGGATGCTTATTTAGAAAAACATTTATGACAAAATGAGGCTGACCAGTAGAGGGGGCATGGGACTTACATTTGATGTTCTTTAAAGCACTAAGAAACAAAGGTGCTTTAGTGAGGTCACAAAGCAGAATTCATTAGGTGTGTAGCAAATTCACAACCGCTAGAAAAGTTTGTGAACGTTCTCTTTATATCTTTACATTCCTGCGTGGGCATATGGAAGAGGAACATTATGCAGACTCCAGGAGTGAATCACTCTTGATCCAACAGTGCATGACATTTCTTACTTGAGCTCTCTTGCATTCAGATTCTTATTACTCAATAGTATATGTGTGACTTCATTTTAACACAGCTTTTCCATTATGACACACATGTAAATTCCTCAAGTTGCTAAGGCACACTTTGTGTGGCAAAACATTCAAATGTTAGGTCAACTTTTACCTCACATATTTAGAGATTGTTATCCTCAGCAACAATTGCTCTTAGTGGGTACCTTCATGAACAAAATGGTCTTAAGTGACTAGGGGTCTACACCTAATTGTTGAGACCTAGGCCCTAGAGTCAAACAGATGTGACTTCAAATTCTTGATTCTATCATATGCTAGCTTCATGGACTTGAGCAAGTTACATTAATTCACTGAGCTTTGATTCATCTGTAAAAAGGGGATTATAGTAGTAATCAAAAATAGGATTATTGTATAGATTAATGATAACTAATAGTAAAAACAAAATATGGTTGGGATAGTTGATGTTTTTCTTCTCAAGTGCACAGATTATCTTTGATTCGTGACACACTGTTTTTCACTGGTACAAGCTTAGCACCCTTTTGTTTTTATTTATATATACTTTTGTACTTATTTATATATTTGCTTATTATGAATAAAAATATGAATACCTGTAAGCCAACCACCCAATATAAGAATTAGAATATTAACAATCATACAACCACCTGTGAGCTTCTCCTCAGTTCATTTATCTACCTTCCCTTCCTTGAGTCTCACATTTCTGGATCTCATATTTGATTTTCAGAAGTTATTAATTTTAATATAATCAGATTCATTAATATTTTCTCTTATGGTTGGAGGGTT